ATTTCGCTCAAAGCTTGCATTTTGACATTTAAAATTGCATTCTTTAAAATGATGTAAAAAACTGTCTACCTTACAATTTAAAAGTTTTTCAACTATTATTTAATAACATAATAAATAAATAATAAATATGTACTAAATGTTATATTTTGCATGGAATTATCTTTAGATAAATGAATTTTCATAATTTATATTTATGGTGCAGCCATCTAAGCATGAATAAGAGTATCTTATTCTAATATTCCTGAGTCACAAATTGGAGAGTACAGGACACTGGAAACTCTTCACATACGAAGGGAATGGAGGAAATGTTGTGGTGTCAACGCTGGGATTTGAACCTTCGTTCTGTTGATCATGAGATTGACAAATTAGACTATAATATGCACCCAGCTGCAGGAACTTAGCGGCTTCATTAGATTGGCCGAATTAACGCGATAAAATTTTGGTTGTTTAACCGTATTTGGTGAAAGCAGTTAATCGACTATTTTTCTCTCAGTCAACAGTTAGAATACCATCATCTGATTGATGGTAATATGTGTTTGAATATGGAAAATAACCAATTAAATAAATTGTTATTCATCCATTTTCCCCAGAAATTTCCTACATTACAGTGAACATAGCATAACAGTGTGAAAGAATGAAGGTTATATTCCTGTTTGGAACAATTCAATCACAATTGTTATCAAGAAATACATTTAAACTTTAATCCTAATAGCCTTAATGTAAATATTTTAATATACATACAAAGAAGCTGTGTTTCAAGATACAACAAAAACATATTTTAAGCAGAGTAACAATTAAGGAGAGAATAGCTAATCATTGAGGATTTAAAGTGATTTACAACTCGTATAACCTAACTTTATTTCCGCTTTCTGTTTCTTAATGACCTCAACACAAAGTGAATCAAAACATTGGTGTGTGATTAAACGTTATAAAAAACTCAGAAGAAATGTAAGCAATGCAAATTAAAATTAGTTACTCAATATTCAAGTTATATTCCTTTCTAAGAAACTACGATGAATTAATTTAAGTTCAAAAGAGCCAATAATAAATTCACATGAGTTAGCTCATCTGTGACACTATGACATCTTTTGGTAAGTGGAATTATTTCTTATGAAAAACGATTGGAATTATATTAGCTTTTCCAAAGTATCGGCATATGCCTATTAATTTTGTGCATGACTGTGTAAGGTTGATTAATATTAGTTTGTTAATTTTTGAATTTTTACGTCGAACAAGGAACAAAAATTCAACTTGTTTGTAATATAATTACATTTTATATTACAATTTATATAATATTTTTTGTCTTATCAAATATTTTATCAGTACTCAAATAAAGTTGTTTTTTAAACCTTTTTAATGCTTTCCTTACTTTCATAAGAAAATCATAATTTTATAAAGTAGAATATAGTAAAGAAAATAATCTAATTCATAGAATTTAGAGTAAATCGAAAAGTATATGATTAATTTTTACAACTTCTGAAACACCTAAAATATTGAAATTTTTATCCTTTTATTTAAATTATAATTAAAAAAAACTTATATTTACTCAAAATAAGTGAATTATAATTAAACTGCAATAGAAAAGTAATTTGAAATAGAATAAAAGAAACAGGAATGCAATCTAGAACTTCTTCAGAGGACGCCCCGTGTGTATTCATGTGGGAGCTTTTTCTGAGAATAACTCTTTAATAATCCCTTATAATTTTTCCTTCAAACTATGAATTATGTTTTTATCTCAATAAAAGCGTGTTTAATCTTAATTAGTCTAATCCTAAGATTTAGGAATCTCTGTACTGAGAAAAAAAGTATGTTAAAAAATAACAGAATATGGTAAAATTTACCGTGTTTCTGGGTCACTGGAAACTCCGAAAAGCTCGATAATTTTTTACCGAGGCGCTTTGGCAATGAATTTGGTAAAATTAACCATAAAATATGATTTTATAATTTATGATAAAATTTGGTAAATGTGTTAAAAAAATTTCATAATTATATCGCGATACCTTAGAGCATGTTATAAATACACTTTGTTAGTTTAAATTTAATTTTCAGTTCTGTATTTTTTTTTATTAAATGCCCGGTAATAAGAACTTTAATTTTAAAAACTAGAATGTTCGGTAAATTAACACAATATGAACAGAAACATTATCAAATGAATAGTTTAAATATAGTATATTTTGGTCTTATTTACTAGAAGCATTGTTTTTTTTTACAAGAAATGTCATTACCATAGAGTATGGTAATTTCAACGGAGTTTGATTTTCTGTATGTGAGTGGAATAATTTATTGATAAATTTAAATTATCATATATTTATATCGCCTGTAATGATAGACTTCAAAACTTTTTCATAACCTTGACGCTTTCTAATTTTTCAACAAATTAGCATTTCAATTAGCTTGGATAGAAAACAACTCTAAAAATAATTAAGTGCACGTGTTATGGTGTAAAATAAAGAATATGTAGTATCATTACTCATGAATAATAGTTAACTGAATTAATTTTTTTATCCTTACCTGTCAATTCATCCCAAGGAATGCAAATTGAATGATGAAGATACAAGCTCAGACATTTAAAGTAACAAAAAAAAATGTTTTAAATTTATACAATGTTCGAATAAGAATTGAAATTAAATTTCGACAATAAACGCAATAAGAAGTACGTTAAAGTTTAGTCCATATTGAACAAATTTTAAACAATAAAATGTTATCCAGCTTATGCAGCGAAAATAGTAGCAAGGTATTTTGTGTATTAAAATGTTATATTTAAAAAACTGGAACGAGATTATGCTTTTGTCATTTAGTTAAACAGGTTCAAAAAATTATTTTTGGTGCGTAAATGAGTTTATATCATTAGTTGCAAATTTGAAACTTTAACATTAACAGTTTCAGCATTGACAATTTTAACTTTTTTTATATATATTTCCTTTTTTTTTTTTTTTACAAATTTGCTTATTTGTAAGCATTCAGGGTAATGAGTTTTAAAAGAGTATGCTGTTAGAAATTTCTCAGAAAAAAAGTTAAATAGGAATTTATTTAATTTTTTTTTACCATATTTAAACAAAACAAGCAAATAACCATAAATAAGATGGTATCCAAACTGTTAACTGTGTGAAAAACACAGGTAACAGTTTGAAAACACAGTTAACAGTTTAAACAGCCAGTGTGTTATCGCACAAACTAGGCCCACCTAATGAAGCCACTTAGTTCCCTTCAACTGCGTATATACTACAGTTGCGTGGGTTAATCTGTCAGTCTCATGACCGACAGAACTGGGGTTCGAATCCCTGCGTTCACACCACAATATTTCCTCTATTCCCTTCATATGTGAAGAGTTTCCTGTTTCTCGCACTCTTCAATGCCTGTTTCCTAACGAAAGCTCTAGTTACTATGTCTAATTTAATTTCTCTTTTATGATTTTGAAACCATGCTAGTTGTAAATGGCTAAAAATAACCATAAAGTTCCATCCATCCTATTCCATGGAACTATTCCACCCTATTCCATTATATTAAATCCATTCATGGATTTAACCATGTAAACCATTTCAAAACCGTAAAGGTAAAAAAATGCTCTTTACCGTAAACTTTATGGTTAATCAGATAAACAGACTGCTTCTGGTTATATTACAGCATAACCTTCTAGTTATGGTATAATTATATCATTCTACTGCTTCTGGTTATATTATACCATTTTGCCATAATTTTAGAATAAAAATTCTAACAGCGTAGGTATTATGAAGATACAAACTGCAGGAAGTTTGTGTCAATTATGGTTATTGAAAATGTTAGGAGACTGTTTATCTGTGAGCAATTTTAAAACTACCTCATTTATATTAATTAGTCTAAAACATGCTTTACGAATGAAATTTTAATACATTTATCATCAGATTTTTTTTAAAGTTTTTATTCAAAGTAGTATGTAATTAATTTAAAAAGAAGTAAAAAAAACTATTTTAATAAGATTTAAACTTAGCAATATTAATAAATAAGCGTGTAACTTTTAGTTACCTCGGAAGCAACATTAATTTGAATTTTAAGTTGAATCCCCTACACTAGCGTATAATTATGAATCGCTTTTATTTGAGTCTAATGTTGAGTCTCTTTCACCTGAATGGAAAGTTTTTTCTTTTTCACTTTAGTTTAATATTGAACCTCTTTTAAGTGAGTCTAATGTTGATTTCCCTTCACAAGTGTCTAATGTTGATCCTCTTTTACGACAACATAGTGCTGATTCTCCTTCACTTGAACCTAAAGTTGATCTCCTTTCACTTGGGTCTAATATTGAATCTCTTTCACTAGAATAATGTTAGTTTCCATTATTGTGCTTAATGTCGCCTTTAATGTTGATCCTCTTTTACTTGAATTTAGTGCTGATTCGCCTTCACTTGAACCTAATGGTAATTCCCTTCAGCTAGTGTCTAATGTTGATTCTCTTTTACTTAAATATAGTGCAGATGTTTCTTCACTTTAACCATATGTTGATTCCCTTTTACTTGGTTTTAATGAAGAATCTCCTACACTAGAATAATGTTAATCTTCATTTTTCTGTTTAATGTCTACTCTTTTTCATAATTTTTCATTAAACTTCAAACTTTACAGTTTGGTGTGTGATGAACTTGACATTAACTTCTGGAATGAGTACAAAAAATACATTAAGTATATTGTTTAACTCGGGATAAAAATGTCCGCAAAACATTTATTAGGATGGATAACGTATAAGAAGTTTTTGATTTATAAGAATTAAACTTAAGATTTTTCATTATACCGTAAAGTTCATTATAATATAAGGAAATATGAAAAAATGTTTATTCAAAACCTTCCTTTAAATATAAAAAGGATAAATACTAAATAGTTTTTAAGAAGTTTAATCAATATGATAAATTTTCAGCAATATACAAAGACTTATAATACTTTAAAATCATATAAGTTTAATTTTAGTATTTAGAAATATATGATCATTGCGTAATAAATAATTCTTAATTAAATATATTTCTTTTTTTCTTTAGGTTTAGTAGAATGCTCTCTAAATTCTTTTTGAAATCAAACGATTTTGGGAATTCAAGTTTTGGCAAGACACAAAATTAGTCTGCACACTAAACAAAAAATGGAATTTTTTACTTTTACAAAGACGTACCTGACATTGTCTATTTTACTATTCGCAATATCGGAAGGAAACGAGATTTTCAGTTTGGACAATGAAGAGAGAGCACAAAATATGACAGTTCTGGAAAAATGGGAGCAACTTGAAATCGATGTGAAATCTATGGCCAACAAAGCTGTGAAGGAGTTTCTCCCTTATTTGATGGAGTACCAAAACAAAGTCAACATTTCATCGCAGTGCGTGAGAGAAGGCATGATGCTTCTCAATGGAATCAGAAATATTAAAGCTTGGGCTGTGAGATGTAAGTATTCCTTTGTTGTTAAAACATACAAGATTCTGTTCTAAACAAAATGCCGAAAAATATTTTAGAATGATTTTGATTACGCAATGAGTTAACTGGACATTGAATTAACTAGACATTATGTTAAAAGACAAATGAGTTAATTCTATTTTATTTCATAACCGTCGTTGAACAGCCGGTCCAATTTTATGTGTTTACGACTAATAATGCTCAACTCCGTAGCCTTGCAATTTTGAACCCAATCCAGAAGACAAGGAAACTCCTGGATCGAGTATTGGAAGAAATTTGCCATCGTGGAGGACTTTTTGATGGAGTTAACCCGCATTTGCGTTACATGGAGTGGAATATCACGAGAACCTCCCACTGTTAGCCTGACGGCAAGGGTGCTCTAACCCATGATCCGTTTATCACTGAAGATATTTCACGTCAACACTGTGGTCGGTGCAAGCCGGATGCGGAATTCGTATCGACTGGGATTCGAACCCGGTTCTCCGCATTGGAAGGCAACCGCTCTATCCCCTGAGCCATCGCTGCTCAAATGAGTTAATTCGACATAATTTGAGTTTATTCGACATAAATTAAAGCCAGAAGAATAAATCACTACCAAAAACATACTTGTTCAATTAAACTACAGTCCATGGTTAAATTATTAGACACTGTATAAGTCTCTATGTAAAATCTTAATTTTCAGGTGATACTATACAGCATTATTGTTTTTACGCATCTGAAACCGATTTGCAATTGTTTATGTTCGTGTTTCAATTAGTTAACATTGTAATGCAATAAGCAAAAAATATATACAAATAGGAAGTATATGAAAAATCTCCTGAATAAAAACGCATTACATGTATGCTTAAATATGAAAGTGTTGTATATGAACACGTGCAAAACATGTCATTGTTAAAACACTACAGTGAGTCTTATTTGGTCTAATTATTATAATATGCAAATATAATACCTGATGCAATAAATATTCCATATTTATATTATCTATCGTCTAATTTAGCCAATTGATACACGAACGTAAACCGGTTTCAGTCACGTAAAAACAATAAAACTGTATAGCATCTCACCTGATAATTAAGATTTTACATAGAATCTTACAGTGCGTCGAATAATTTTGCCATGGCCTGTAAGTAATTGAATTTCTGAATGCTTTGAAAATTTTATTTACTTAACAAACACGAAATGAAATGTCGTGCATAGTTAACTTTTCCAAAGAAAATGATATTTAAGTAATTATTCACCTTTTCAATTATGTTCCCAAAACACTTATATATGGAAACCGCGACACAGTAAATGGTCATTAATGGAGGTTGATCGTTCCTTGGGTCTACCTCCATTTACTTCAAAATGCTATTGAAGGTACATCATTTAATTTTACTCAGTGTATAATTTTCTTGGTGTAGAAGTGCTACTTTTGTTGGCTTCATGAAAATCAGATAGATGAATAAAACCTAATCTCATTAAAAAGGACCCCTTATTATGAGTAAAAAAAATGTACCAATTATGAATGATGAAAGGATGATTCCTTTTAGCCATGACAATTTGGACCAAAAAATTTCTTCAAATTTAAAGTCTTCAAAATAATCTAAAATTTTTTTTTGTATACTTCTTTAGTTACATTTATTAGTATCTTACAGACAGCAGTGACCATATCTTATTGACATTTACTCGAGAAAAAAAATAAAATAGAAATTCACCAAATCTTGAATACCAGGAAAATGACACATTAGCTTAGAAGTTTAAAAAACAGTCATTTTAAGTTAATAGTAAGTAACTCAACTTAAGCCTTTATGTTAGATGGACCGCAAATTGCTTAAATTAATTCTTTTTATCAACTGTAGAAAGAATCAATTTTTTTGTTGTTGCTGATATGTACAGAATAAAATTGTGTAAAATAAGCAATCATTAAATAAATAAATAACTTTGATTACATTCAATCCTATTACAATCATACATAAACTTGGTATTAGGTTAATATTTGCTTTCCCTTTTTACAGTATTAGCAGTTAAAAAAGCCAGGAAAATAACACTATAAAACTTACTCACCTTGAAAATTTTTTTGAAACAGTTTTTGAACCAGAAAGTTGGTTCTTTATTCATGCAACAGGACATGTTCAGATAGGAGGGTATCTAATCAATATATTAACACAAAATATTGATTGCTGGCTCTATCTATTTTGGTTATGAACCACTAACTAAAAGTAGCCAGGAAAATGACAGATTTTCTTGTGACAAACAAATTATTGAGAGAAAAAATTATTTTAAACGAAGTTTTTGTAAATAATACCCTCTGCGTATATTCCAGAAATGCTTACACCGGTTGAGATAAAAAAAATTAGATATTGAAAAATTTATGATAAGTTTTGAAGCTAGTTATTATTGGAAACATTGTTTGGGACATGACAGGAAAATGACATTTTGAAGTTCAATTAAATGTTTTAACTATACAAAACAGTCAATGCTAGTGCAAAGTCATTTTAAAATGATAACAGCAATGCAATTTATTAATTTTAAAAAAAAAAAGTTCTTTTAGTAATAAAGTATTAGATCTTGTCATATTTCGTGAGAATCCCCCAGAAGTGTGTGAAATAAATACACAACCATGTTTTTTGCTAAAGTTAGCATTTAGTTTTGCATCATAAAAATTAGTTAGCTTCAAAAAATGCGCAGAGGTTTGTTTGTTTCACATACTTAGTTTTTTTCAAAACTAAAATTTTTTCAAAATTTAACTCTCAACTCTAAAAATTATCAATAGCATCATTTTTAGTGCCCTATGACTAAATAAGGTTGTCAATATCTTTCAGATATCGTGAAAAAGATTTCTCTAAATAAGAACCACTCACAAATATTTTGAATACACTTAAATCTACTTATTTATTGTTAATATTTTTTGTTTGGATACATTTTCGTGTTCCATTTTTTTACCTTTTCCGCATTTGATGCGGAGGTTTGCCCGATCGCTGAGAGAACCACAAAATCTATGGAAATAAATCCGTCGTTCCCAAAAGTGGTCGTAAATAGAGGAGGTTGCTATACAGAGGTGGTCCTTCCTGGAGGTTTCACTGTGTAAACGAGGGATGATCAATAGGTTCGAGGGCTCAACATTTGTGATTATGGTAAACAAATCAAGCGAAATTTCCGTAAACTTTTAGGAAATTGTCCCAGTTTTTAACTAGTCCTAAACATCCTGATACACTTCTTAGCCCGTCAAAAATAGTATATTTTCCAGAAGTGTTTTGGTGTGGCCAAGTCGAGAAAATCGCTTGGGGTGATTATAGGACTGAAAGAGTTTGATTTGTGGTTTTGATTGGGATTTGGTTTCTAGTTTCGGTTTTTACAAGAGGTTTCGATTTTGCAAATGGGATTTTGCCAATCAAAATCACTTGTAGAAATTTATTTACTAACGTTTATTGCATTACACATTAGCATGCATTTTTACTATTTCAGAATCCTTACAACATATATATATATATAAGATAAAAAAATATCTTATTTGTATAAATGACAACTCTCTTAAATAGACAACGCAAATAATGGTTTCTTCCAATTTTTATCTATTTCTTGGTAAATATTTTAAGGAAAGGATTACAACCGTATGTTAATTAGCAGTTGCATTGCGAAAAAACTACTCATATTTCGGTTCTTTCCTACTTTATTTAAGGATTCTGAATGGATTGCAAGATCTTCCTTAACATAATCGAATGTCAAGAAAAAGGGCAAATTTATACAACTCCACTCCATTTAAAAAATAATGCCATATTGTGAGATTTTTTTAGGGAGTATATTTTCAAGAATTTTAAGTATTAACTGCAGAAAACACTCTTTAATTGAAAAATTGACTTTTTATTGCTCTTAAAAAAACGATTTCTACGTCCTAAATTTGTAAAAGAATCTGTTTTAAGCTATGAATTAATTTAGAAAAAATTCGTGTGAGACATTCCATATTATTTCATTAGTTATAAAAAGAGTAATTTTTATCTTAGGATAGTAATTTTTTTTATTTCGAAATGTAATCTGCCGTAAGGAAATACCTCCTAAAAACAATGGTTATGTTTATTCCATCAATTTGTTATGCAAGTTCATTAGAATTCGCCACTCACTTATGGATTTCGTTTTGCGTTTTGTTCTGCTTTTTCTAATTTCTGTTTTTTGCGTGATATAATATTTACTCAATAAGTTCTATTTTGTTTCAATTTTCTGAGTGCTACTCACACTATTGTATTGATATATTTTGTTATGGTTATATTGATACAATATTTTAATTTAATAATTTTTCTTTTAAATATTCTTCATTATTTTCAATGTTTTCTCTCTCTGTNTATGAATATTATGTATATATATATATATATATATATACTCCCTTTCTCTAATTTTAGTTATTGACGCTAGTGGTAAAACAATTGATGGTGCAATTACCGGTTCAATGTCGTCCTTCGGAGCCTATGACGAGTGTATAAATACAATAGTACCAAACAAGAGATCTAGAGATAAAGGAAAAATTTTGTTTAGAGGACAATATTGCACAATAGATTTCCGGCCTCCACTTCCACCGATGAAGAACTTCTACAAGCTAGACGAAGTTTTGGATGATTTCAAGAACTTTTCCAAAGGAGACACTGTAAGAAAATTTCAAACCATACATTCAATTCGTAGTTGGTACGTGAAAATTAGCATTTTTAAATCTTCGGGGGAAAAAAACAACTAATTTGAAAAAGTCATTGATAAAAGTCACAGCAGCACAGAAATAGATACTTTCATTAAAACCCCATTGCGGAGAAAACGCTGAAAAAGAAGCATTCAATGCTTTAAATACGAGAACTTTCTCATTTATTGTTTTCTATTTTAATGTGCTAATTATAAATATATTTCTTTATTATCCTGAATTATTATTGATTTATACTTAACTTATTATTAATTATTAACCTAAAATATCCTTAATTATTTTTTTTACAATAACTACACAACTAGTTAAAAGTATGAGAAACTACCAAACTTAGTAATATCGACAACCATAACTTAACTAAAAATTTAACAAAAAAAAAAAATGTGAGTTTTTTTTTTTTGAAATTTTAAGGAAAATTTGGCCTCTATGTCAGGTCTGGAAGTTTGGTGGTGAAAATTCTCTTTCTTTTTGACAGTCACTGCGTGGTAAAAAAGAAAATGTTGTTTATAATTCAAAACTGGAAAAATGACGGTTTCAAATTATCCAAATATATTTTACAATCCTTAACAATATTGCATTATATATTATTGATATTAATAAATGGTTTCCTTTACTTTAAAATAAATTATAATGCAACATGAACTAAATTTTTAATAATTTTTTTTTTATTATAAATGATTGAAAGCTGAAAGTACATTGACTTGCAAAAGTACCTGACCAGTAATGTTACTTTAATTTGATAACAATTAAAAAAGAATGAAAATTATTCATTTTTCAAAACAACCTTATGTTTTCAGTACTGTTCAATTTTGTTCTCCATTTTTTAAAAGTCATACGCTTATAAACTACCAAAAGTTGAAAGAAGGTATTAAAATTATATAGGCCGGTGACTTGTATGCTTCTCTGTAATAAAAGCTTTTCGTGGAAGTTACGTGTGAAAATCGACACGTACTTCATCATTTCAACTGCCCTTATCGGTAGCTTTGACCTTTCCTGCATTAAACCTTCAATGCCAAAAAATGAAAATATTTGTTACAATTTAGCATTAAACCTATAGGTAGCTTTTCTTCCTTAATCGCAGCGTATCTAGGTATTCTTTGGCTTAAGTAGTTCAATCTATTTCTTTTAAAAAGAATCTCATTTCATTTTTGTTCTTTGTAACAGAATCTTTGCAATTATTAACAAAATACAAAGACCTTCAATCACAATTTTGAAAAGTAGCAATATTTATATAGGTAGGCTAATTGGCTGACAATTTCAAGATGATGCAAAATTTAAGTATTGGCTTCTTTTTTGGCAGAATTTTGAGCATAGGTTATGCACAGCTTCATGCGACTAATAGGCTTAAAAATAAAGGAACCAATATTAAATGTAGGATTTAAAATAAGTTTTGATAAAATTCAAAAAAGCTGCAGGAAATAAAATGATATTTTTTTCAGGTTTTAAGCGAAGCAGCAAAAATCTCACACTTCTTTTATTTCTTGACTTTAAGAATAGGAATATGTGTTCCTTCTGGGTGCAGCCTGGAAGATATTAACCAGCTAGCGAGCAAACGTAAGTAATAAATTTAAATTATTTTTTTAAGAAATCAATATACAATGTAAGAAAGTTACATCATGCATTATTTCCAGCAACGTTCCGGGATTTCAAGAGTTTCTATTCATTTCTCTGCAAAACAAGTTTCTTTACAGAAGATTTCCAGAAATCAATCATTAAGGGGAAACAGCATAACCTGTAAAACTATCATTTTTCAATGAATTTTGCAACAATTGCGATAAACTTAACGTATTTAATTTCAAATTAATTAAAATTAACATCGTTAAAATTATTAATCTTTTTTCACGCATTTTAATTTTCATTTTACCATGCTAAAAATGTAAAATTTAAAAAAATTAGTGCTTATGTGAGACAAATTTATTCCGTTTTAATTCCGTTAAAAATGATTCCATTTTAATTTTTTTAAATTACATAAATTAATGTTTATTTGCAAGTAGGACTTTTGAAAAGCAAACCATTTTTGCAAAATGGTGGTGTTTTGGAAAAATTTCCAAAAAATTGCAAAAAACAAGTTACATTTTCGTGTATTACTTAAAACTAGTTAACCCAATTATAAAATCCCTACATGCAACGAAAACTATATGTGTACATTATACCAAAATTTGAAGATCCCTTCAGGTACTAGAATTTTGTACTTCTTGTGTTTGTAGTAATTCTTCAGCTAGTAGATGCTTGCATAAGATAAATAAAAATAAACTAATATTGTTTTAATTATCCATCAATTTAAATTTAATTACAGATAAATTGAAAAATACCTACTATATTTTCAGATATATGATTTTTGAATAGATGGAGAAAATATGTAATCTTTTACCCTTTGCATAGATGGGACACCATATGGCCAGTTTCATATATTTTTTTTTCTGAAACTCTAATTACAAGCAAAAATAAGTTTTTGTATTTTTTAATTGTAAAAAACATAATAGTATAATAGTTTCAAAAAAATAATTTGTTTGACAATTGGAATTATATTTGTATTCATATAAAAAATCCAAAAAAAAAGTTAGTTAGAAATTTTTTTTTCATGAAAAGAAGAAGAAATTTCAATTATGAATAATTTAATGAAAAATAGTTTCGCTTAAATGCAAAAAACTGCAAATAAATACAAATTTGAAAAATAATTGTTTGGAAGTGGGCCGCGTCTGAAAGATTTTACCTCTAGCGCAAAAAAAAACACTAGCGTTGTATGCTGTATTTAACATAAACATATGTTATTAAAATGCTAAACATAATATCTTTTACTTATTTTGATCTAAATTAAAACAAAATAATGAAAAAGGTAGGAAAAATATGCTTAGTAAAAATCCTGCGTTAAAGGGTTAACATAACTCTTCAAAAATTGTCAGAAGGGCTTATAGATAAATTTCCGATCAATTTTAACTGGTCAGCTTGACTTCAAATAAAAAAATCTTTTGCATTTTCTTTTACAGTTTTTTCATCTTTCTACCTTGATGCTCATGCATCAAGATGTGTAAAGCAAGAAGAGGAATACCCACCGAAAATAATTTTCGTTATGTAAGTATGCACATATTGTATAATATAAGTAACCGTCGTAAAATTTACAAACGGAAAATACTGGAAAATATTAGGAAATTTATAATATTAATCGATAATAGATCTAATACTTCTAGATTTTTGTAAGAACTGCCATAAATTGAGGATATCTTGCTTGTAGTGTAAAGCTAGCTCTGAATATCTAACAATATGTATCTGTTTAGCTCTTTTTCGATGTTTTAAGTAAATTTTTATTCTAAACGGTAATGAAAATTGGAAAACTTTAATTATTTATATGTCACTAAGTTAGCACTTTGGGTGGGATATCCTTACGACACCTAAATTATCCTTTTAAAACCGACTGAAACATTTCATGAACAAATCCTTCTTGATATCGAATTTAGACGCAAAACTTGCAAAGAATATTTAAAAATTTACAGCATTTGGATATTTTTTAATTTCTTTAGAGGAAAATAAAAGAAAATCCAAACTAAAAAAGTTAAATTTATTTATAGTTTTGAATAAGTACACTATTATTAACTAAATTAACATTTAGAATTAAATTTTAAAATTAGAATCAAGCAAATTATTAGAAAATTTGCTTGCAATTTGGATTTTTTAATTTGATATTTCTTGTACCAAACAAGAGCAGATGGTTCGGCGATGTCCAATAAATTGCCTTTTATTGGGGCCATAACAATGTTGTACACAGTCATGTTTTCCATACATTGCTTATTGATCAAAGCGAGAAAATAAAAGAGTAATAAAAGTTTAAAATTTGAAATTTCCTTTAGGAAAATTTGTCATAGGTTTGTCTTAAAAAAATTCCATAGGATATTCCTATGGGATTTTGCCCATGGTAAAATTTTGCCATATACGTAATGGCAAAATTTTGTCATACATGTATGACAAAAATTTGCAAGAAGTCTTAATATTGAAATTGATCATATCTATTGTAGATTTGTCTATTGCTTGGCTGGCTTTTTCATGTTAATTGGATCTTTGATTGATTTATATTGTTACTATACCAAAGCTTCGTTTAAAGGTATTTTTTTGTGAATAATATAGCTTTTGTTTGATTGTTATTTTAATAATTATTTTCTTTAATTTATTTAATAGTTATTTTTCAATCAAAATTTTAAACATTTAATTGAATTTACTGCAAGTTAGATAAAGCTCAGAAATTTTATAAGTTATTTAATCTACAATAAAATTTTAGTTATAAATATAATTAATGAAAAAATTAAACGAATTTAGCTTGAAAATCAATCATAACAAAAAAATAAATAAAAATAAAACAATAAACGTCTTTTAAAACTATTGAACAGAGGATAAAGGAGAGATTCTCAAAAAATGTCTAATGTCTGAAATGTCTTAAAGCTTAAGATTTAATTCTATAAGTTTAAGTATTTCCTCTAAAGTAAATATCATCTGGGGATCAATTACGAGGAGTGTTTTTTAAGTAAAGGCAGATCGGAAATAAAAATCAAGCGAAAGAAAATTTTCAAGAAACAAATTTATTTTCAGATTCTACACACGTTTTTCTATGTCTCAAAATTGCCAAGTTTGTTTAAATCATTATGCCTTACGATTGGATAGCCTCTTCATAGGCACTTGCCACCTGATCCGATAACCATGACATCACAGCCGTTTTCACGTCTTCGTCATCGTTGTAGTGGTTGCCACCGAAACGATGTTTGAAATATTGGAAAAATTGAAAATCGCTCGGTGCAAGGGCTGGGAGACAGGGAAGTGGGTCCAAAACTTCCTAGCCAAAAGAGTTCAATAAATCTTTTGATCTGAGCTGCTGGAGAGTTATGGTCATAGAGTCAGCATGGCAATAGTGCCGTGAACTTACCAAAACTGTCGATGTTTGCAGCGGACAGGTTTTTTGCAGACAAAAAAAATATAAAAATAAATAAATTAAAAAGAAAATTGATCACTGACTGAAAATCACTGACCGTACCTCGTACGGGACGAGTGATTCCATATTCTTAAACACTTCAAAGATCCAGAACTGACCGTGCTGGTTACCTACACAGCTGCAATTGTGCACAGTTGCACCCAAGAAATGCCGGGGTACGACGCAAGCACACATTGCGGCATTCGCGCAACCAATTAGTGTACACAGCAAAATGGTTCATGCTTAAAAAACATGCCTCGTAGTATAAACGAAATAACAAGTTAATAATACACATTATTACAATACATGAAGCACTGACAATTTTGGAATAATATTAAGACATTTTTTAACACTCTTTTGAAATGTTAAATGTTTGAAATTAAAATTATTCTAACTTTCTAATTAAAAGCAATTTCTGATATGTTTAAACATGATTATTCGACTTGATTTTTCTTTAAAAAAAGTTTTTAAACCAAAAAAATAATCTTGGTAATGAAATAAGATTTCTGATTAACGCTTTCGTTTTATTTCCAAGAGAATTAAAACACTTTTAAACATTGAAACATAAATTATGTAATCAAAAATATAGGTTAAGTGCTAATATTTCTTTTGCGTTTATTTATAGTTATCATAATTTTAGTTAAAAAATTTTATATGAAATAAGAAAGATATTTTAGGAGCAAAATTGTTGTTCTCTTTAATCGTAAATGTTTGTAATTTTTTAAGTAAGCCTGTAATAAAGTATTAGCATTTAGCATGTTTTTTTTTTCATATTAAAATATTTTTATGTATATATGTTTCAGGAACTGGAATAAGAATTCTTTTATGTTTCTCATTCATGTCAAACTTCAAGAAATTTGCAAACACAAAGACCTCGTCGGATACCTTAAGCTGCCTGAATGGAATTCGTTTTCTTTGCATGAGCTGGGTTATTCTCGGCCACACCTACCTCGTCTTGAATTTCCAAATATTTTGTAATTTTTTTAATTTGCCTATATTGTCACTATTTATTAAGTATTTGTGATGCACAAACATTTATTATGTGTTTTAAAAACAATATTTTAAATTGTTTAATATGCACAAGTCTTCAAACATTAGAGTATTGTCTGCTTTCTTTGTTTAATTTGAAAATTAAACAAATAAAACAAGAAAATTTGAGGATATATGAACTAAAAAGTTCGTTTTTTAAAAGAATGCAATGTAGAAATTTGTAAAAATTCAAATACGATAATGATTTACAACAAAGAATTTACGAAAAATCCCTTCTCTGTGATATTTCTTGCTCTGTTTGTACACATACATCTCAGAATTCATTTTACCAGATACAAAAACTGACTGACCCAGGCCTAATCATGAAAAAACGCCCACAACACCCGTTGTTCTGGCTGAATTAACACTGTAAAAGAATTGCATTACTAGTAAATCTCTCGGAAACTGGGACTCTTCGAGTTTTTCTATTATTACACACAGTTTCTTCTCAAGTGGTATTACATGAATAAACTTAGCAAAGAATACACAGATTTCCTAACATTACACCTATACTAAGAAACTATTAGTCGTATGGTAGAGACTTTTCTTTTTGAATGTTTACCAAGAAGCATGTAGTATGTTCACTAAGGAGGTTTTAGTAAATATGCAGGAAAAATAAACCCTAATAGTAAACCCATAGTAGATCCTAAAAATCTTCATTCAAAAGACAGAATTAAGCAAATTTATTTTATTTATTAGTATACGCATGCATTCGCAGGCTTGTGTGCTGAATTCCATGAGTACGGCTTATAATTTCTTTTTAAAATAGAAAAACGGAATGCATAATTCAGAGAAAGAACGTATGAAGATACATCTTGGTTTTAGGCTGGATTCGAACCTGCTACCTCCGGGCTACAGAGGACTTGGTGGACTATACCGCCTAGCCAGGATGATCCCAACCATACAAAGTGCTGCAAGCACCATACGGAAAGTTATTTTATCTTTTTAAAAGGAACATTAAAGTTGAAAGGAAAAAAGGGAAAAATTTTCAGATAGCGCTGTAAGCGTTACAGCTATTTCTCATGTAGTAAAAGACGTAACAATTAATTGTAGATCAAGTAAAAGGTGATTTCTAGCAACTGATGAGTAATTTGTAATGCTACTAAGCAGTTTCCAGTAATTTAATGTAAAATTTAATGAATCAACTAATTTGGGACGGAGGAAATACTTAAATTAAAAAATATTAGCGAAATGATAATAAAACATCTTGAAAAAAATAACGAATTCTGGTTTTTGCTATGTAGTTAAATTAAAGTAAAATATTAAAAAAAACAATATTGCAATAATTGCATTGCTATGCAAGGAAACTTCATTGTTTAAAAAAATGATTTGACTTTAATAAATGTACTTTAATATTAATAATTGAAAAAAGTAATATTGCCCACAAGACCGATAAAATGTTTTCTAAATGAATTATTTAAAATCAAAAATAAAACTTCGACCAAAATATTTTAACTATCAAATTTAAAACGTTAACAACGTCAAACGAAATTTCCTTTACCATGAATTTATTTCACACGCATTTATAACATATTTATAAATGCGTTATAAAAACAGTTAATTTCTTACAATATAAATTCAGTTATTTTCTTTTGGTTCAGACTGAAATGCAGTTTTAAGTGAAAAAAACGTTTGTAACAATCACAAGTATATTAGATTTTTGTTTCCGTAGTCAACTACAAGTAATCAGTTATTGGTTTTGACTTCTCTTATTTTATTTATAGTGGGCTTAGAAAAAGTTCGTGATTATGCCAAAGATTTCGGTTTCCAAGCTGTCATTAATGCATCTGTTGCAGTGGATACATTTTTTTGCATAGCGTAAGTATTATAACTTCCTTTTCTCAAAACTGATAGTATCTAAATCTATTTTTAACAATTGTTTGACTAATTTTAATGATATTTAATTTTACATGTGTTACTTTCAGTTATGCTTGAAAGCAGTTACAATAGAATATAATGAACTTCGAATTCTTACTTTTTTTTCCTAGTTACTATAATAATGTAATAAATATTTTAATAAAAAATAGCAGGGGAGACGTTTATTAATCTGACATTTGCTACTATTGTTGTCATAGGCCATTACGGCAAGGGGTGCGATTGTTCTTGTTTTCCTGTGGCGCCATCTATAGCCAAGAATTTGACTTCTGCCAAACCTATTTGCCACACACGCTTATAGGGTGGACCCATTCATACAACTATTCATTCATCCGTAATTTTGACCCGAACCAGAGAACGATCCCAATTAAGTACCCCCAGAGGAATAATTTATTATGGGAATATGGAGGACTTTGTAACCAAATTTAACGTACACCAGTCACCATATATTACACGGGGAGTCTTCAGTCAGCTGGACTTGAACTCCCTTTCTAACGAACGTGAGTCCAACGCCTTGCCAACCAAGCTATCTCGGCCATTTGCTTCTGTAAAAAGCGAATTTGTCCAATATAACTATTTTTCATATAATCCTTAAAAAATTCAAATGTGAAAAAAAATAGTAAAGATTGAATATTCTATGCCTGTTACCTTCGATGATTTCATCACATACTTTTATCCAGGATTACTTAGGCTAGTAGAGAAACTGAAGCAGTTTTGCAGGCTGAATTTCGGACACTAGTTGTAGTAATATTGTCTTGAGTTTGAGATTGCTCCTCTCCTTCAATAGCGTCATTTGCCTATTTTATTAAAGTTTTGGATAGCGCATTTTAATACATATCATTCGATTATTCGTTTTTAAAGAAAAGTTATAAAGCTCTTCGTATACATAAGATTATTTCATCATAATTATATGCCTTTCTTAACTTTTTCACGAAATTCGCATTTTTAATTTATAACTGAGTAAACCTAGGAATAAATCCAATTTTTAAAAGGAACCCGTGACCGGCATGTTAACAAATAAAATATTTGCCGGATATCAGGAACAGGCCGGAGAAGAGATTTTATCTTCACGATGTACCCGAAATTGTTTGGATCCAGTGCATTTCTAGCTACTATTTTAAGTTATTTCATTGTTACTTTGCGTTATGTTAAACGCGGGTTCAATTTCATTAATTGTATTTTTCAGTGGTATGCTTGTATGTTATGTGACTATAAAATTGGTCAAAATTCAGGGACGTCCATTCAACATAACCGTTTACATTTTGCACAGATTGTGGAGGTAAGTAAAATTGTTTTAATACAAAACTATTTGGAGTATCATCTTCTATTTAAACGCAAAAAAATTTTAAGAAAATCATTTCCTAAAATGTACCAAAAAATCATTTTATAAGTAAAAAAAAAAATGTTTTGAAACAAAAATTTGTCGCAAAATTACTATTTAAAAAGTATAATCTGCTTATCATAGGAAACTGAGTTCAATAATTGTACAAAGGATTGTATCCTTGGTAACTTTTTATCAAGATAAAAATTTTATTGAAACATTTTTTAATGTCTTTTTTACATATTTATATTTTTATATTTTAGATATGAATTGCGTAGAATTTAATTTAGTATTTCTTCATTCATATTTCATATAATTTTAATAACGTGTGCCTCTTCATTTTTAAATCAACTTTCATTCTTGAAAGACCAAGTCATTCGGTGTAAATGTTTATGAACGATAAATAATAAAATTATTCACTCTGAGTGAACTTTAACATTATCTTCTCCAGTGTCTAAATTAGTAAGAATGCCGTTCTTTGTGGTTAAAAGCTCTACCGTCTACTTATGGTCCTTGATTTTTAAAAATATTATAATTAAAATCAACCAAGAACAAAAATGTTTTTTTATTCTCCTCCTAAGCTATTTTTTTTCTCAAAATAATTCATAAGCGAAATGTACCAATTATATTGAGATTAAATAAAATTGATATAAACTAGGAGTGAATAGTATTTGTTAAATGATGCGGCAAGTTACGTTCAATGGGCTGTTAAGATTTTTTCACATAAGAAATTTTTTATTTCTTGAAGCATCATCGGCTCTCTCAAAAAATAGGTGTAGCGTAAAACAATAATATCGTGCATAATTACTGTAACCTTAATATTGCGTAGAATTATGTTCCCATTCAAATTAAAATATGGTGCAAATTTTCTCCAGCAACAATGTGTTGATATGAACCATATCACATTAAACCATATAATCGTTTAATTAAATTTAACATGGATAATTTGCGCACGATAACATGGTTCATTTTCTAATAGTACACGCTTCTGAAAGAAAACTAATATTCTAATAAAAAAAAGGAAACAATCTTCTCGAAATTCAAAATCGGAACCATATGCATTAACCTGATAGTGCTTTTTTATCTATTCTATCTACGTAAAAAACACATAAATGTTATTTTAAAAGATAAAGATTTTTTTTAAATCAATAATCTTTGTAAATCTCCATTGTGTCACTTAATGATATCTTAAAACCACGAAATGGAAACAAGTGAAACTTTAATGAAAACCAACATAAAAATCTCTTTGATTTATTTTTAACAATTAAAGTTATTTTGTAGGATATTGCCAGTGTATTTTTTCGTTATCCTTTTTATGCCGATGAGCGGACTTGTTGGATCAGGTCCCATTTGGTATGATACAACCCATAAATACCTGAAAGCTTGTGAAGATAACTGGTGGAGTAATCTTCTTTTCATCAACAACTTCTATCACGCTACTGATATGGTAAGATTTTACTTACTTTTCAATAAATCAGATATACAGGGTGCCTATTAAGTTAGGTCAGTAGGACATAGACAAATAATGCTAAAACTGATCTTTTTTGATGGTCCTTTTCTCAGCATCTAAACAAGATATTGCTTCAGTTTTTTTCACTGAATATTTACATATAGAGTCTCTGGACTTATTATTAGACGCACTATAAGATTCTGTGTAAAATCTTAATTATCAGGTAATACTATACAGCATTATTGTTTTTACTCGGCTGAAACCGGTTTCCACTTGTTTAAGTTCGTGTATCAATTAGTTAAAATTGTAATGCAATACATTAAAAAAATAATATATTAATGCAAATAGGAAGTCTGAGCCGCGATGGATCTGGGGATAGAGCGTTCACCAACCGTGTTTGAATCCCAGTCGATACGAATTCCGCATCCGGCTTGCATCGACCACAGTGCTGACGTGAAATATCCTCAGTGGTAGACGCATCACGGGTTAGAGTTCCCTTGCCGTTAGGCTAACCATGGGAGGTTCTTGTGGTCTTCCTCTCCATGTAACGCAAATGCGGGTTAGCTCCATCAAAAAGTCCTCCACGAAGGCAAATTTCTCCCAACACTCGATCCAGGAGTTCCCTTGCCCTCTGGATTGGGTTCAAAATTACAAGGTTACGGAGTTGAACATCAGTAGTCGTAAACCCATAAAATTGGGTCGGCTGTTCAACGACGGTTATAAAAAAATAGGAAGTCTTTAAGAAATCTCCTAAATAAAAATCCATTACATGTGTGTTTAAATATAAAAGTATTGCATATAAATTCGCGCAAAACATGTTATTATTAAAACACTACAGTGCGTCGAATAATTTGGTATAATTATAATAATATACTAATATAATACCTGATATAATAAATATTCCATATTTATTATATTCTATATTTATGTATCGTCTAATTTAACCAATTGATACACGAGAGTAAACAAGTGCAAACTGGTTGTAGTTGTGTAAAAACAATAAAGCTGTTATAGTGTCGCCTGATAATTAAGATTTTACATAGAATCTTACAGTGCGTCTAATAATTCATCCAGGGACTACACGCTTAACTATGATAACTATTAATACATATCTTTGACAGAATTTTTTTTTAAAAGATTTTAGAATTGAGAACTTTTTTTAAGAAGTTTCACCATTTTTGAGCAAAAATCTTTCATAGCTCAAAAAGTATTCCTATTAAAGTTAAAAATGTTTTTACATCATACAACTGATATAATCTCAAATATTCCCAAAAATTTCCAACCCATATTATTAACAGTTTCTTAGAAAAGGTACATCGAAAAGGAAAGTTTTAACATTACTGACATATGCCCGACTGACTTCCCCTAAGTCCACAACCACGCATAACACTAAAACGACTGCCATGATTGTTATCATCATGAGAAATTTTCAATACTAAGCTCTAATCTTGTTTAAGAAACGCTTACATCTTCTTGAAACATCTGTGCTTATATTTAACATTTTACTTATAACCTTATTGACCCTACACCAACATGTATTTAAGAGTAACGTCAACTGGGGGTTACTTTTCTCAAATTTGAAATTCCAGTTAAACATTTCTGTACTTCTCTATCGGTTGAAAAAAAAACATATTTATAATGGTGATTTATGGCGTTTAAATATAATTTCGTTGCCTTCTTTTTCAACAAAATTTCAAAAACCTGGTGACCAAAGTTACCTCTACAACCAGGATAACTTTTTCTCACTAGGTATTATGAATTAAAAACTATCACTAAAATCAAAGCGAAATGTTGTAATCAAAAATAAACTTGTGAATACTTATAAATAATTTATTATTTTTATAAACATACAAGGTAATCGTTATATAGTTAGAGTTTCGTTTTAGAATTTTCATATATAATTATTAGAAAAAACAATAAAATCTACGAAACATATACTCTGGTATGTAATATGATTACGCAGCATAATCACTTTGGATTTATTATCAACTATTACCTATTGCTTATTATTAGAGTTTTATATTTTAAGTTTTTTGAGAGTTATAGTCTGCGTCGAATTGCTAAAAATGGAATAGATTACAAAATTATTTTCTCCAGAAAGGTTTTTTTTTAAGCAATTTAAGGGTTTAGATTTTAAACCCGTAAATTGTTTATTAAACATTCGCTTTCCTCTACATCTAAGGATGGTATTCGTATCATGCAAGGTGATAAGATTTATGCTGTCATTTAAATCTTTTTCTTTTACAGGCAACCTCTCTCCCATAAATTAATCACTCTTGCACTGATAAACTATCACTGAATGAAAGCACTTTAGCCTTAATTTTTCTTTAATTACTATCAGCAGCCTCTATCGCTTACATTTAGTGCTCATTGTTCACAATTGCTCACTTTTGGCTTCGGGTGGCAAAAAGTAATCAAATCTGCGTTAATCAAAGGCAGACAAATAATTAACTGCTTTTTGCCCTCTCCCCCCCCCCCAAAAAAAATTTTTTTTAGAATGCGTATAATAATCCCATTTGCAAAAGTTACCCCAGTTGATGTACAGGTTTGAACCAATTTCTCCAGAGCTTACAATAAATTATGTTTTTTTAAGTAGAATTGTAAAAAAATCAGGACTCAAATTATTCTCGAACGGAATAGTTTTTTTACAAATGTTTCATGATTTTATTTTTAATTTTCAGTGCATTCCCCAAAGTTGGTATATTGCCTGTGATTTTCAACTGTATGTTGCAGCCCTAATTATTTTAATTCCACTTTTAAGGTAAGCACAAATAGTAAAAACAAATGTCTTTACTTGAAACAAAAAACTTTTATCCTGCCATTGAGAATATTTTATGACACTCAGACTGTACTAAGCACAAACACTTTATTGTATCATACACAAGTTTTTGGCAATATTTGTGACCAAACAATTACCCAATGCTTCAATTAGTAATAATTTAAGTATATCGTAAATAAAAGTGTTACTCTATATAACGTTTCCAGAAAATAATAATTTTAAGAATTTTTTTTTTATTTAAAAAAACAACTTAAAGTTTTCTTAAAACTAAGTGCTTTTGTTAATTCTTTTACCATTCTTTATTGAAATGGAAATATTTAATTAATTTTTCGGTCTATTTTACAATTAATACGAAATAACTGTCTCGTATTTAAAAAATAACTAAAATGTTTCAATAATAATTATAGTGTCTCTTAACTACCTTTCTTTTTCATCACTTTTTTAATTGTCTAATTGGCGTGTTAAAAGTGAACTAAGTTTCTCCTCATAAGTTAGAATATTAATTAATGTGAAGTTAATTAAACAAAATACCCTATCACACATCGAATTTATTGAAATATAATTCTTTCTCTTCAACGTCTTTAACTTAACTAAGACTTATTATTTGTTCATGTATTTATTGTAACCGTGATACATTTTTGTTTTATGTAGCTGGCAACTTAGATGCATATTTAGTTTGTTTATGTTCTGCATGGTTTCATGCCTTTATTTGTGTTAAGTAAGAAATATATGGTGAAAGAATTGAAATCTTAGTGAAAGAATCTTTGTGTAGGAATTTAGAATGTATCTTTTAAGAGAATTAATGTTTGAAGGGCTTGATTTACTCAAAATGGAATGGAAAAAACAGTCGATAACGTAAACAAATACCACGTTTCAACAACCAATAAGGATCGAGATACAGACACTACTTCATTTACCGGTATCCCATTGAATATATGCAGTTGACGTCATAGTAGAGAAATAGTGGAATTTGTAGATTCAGAAGTCAATCAGGTTTGACACAAACGCGTGACGTTGCTTACAGATATCCAATTAAATCTAATTTAAATCACATGGTTAGGCATAAGCATTTCACTTCTTCTCGAGTTGCCAGAACCAAATTCATAAGAAATTCTATTTAAATAATTATCAAGAAAACTTTATGGCCCGTAATTATCTTAATATCCAAGCATGGTGGATTTTTTCCACGTTCAGTATGCAAAGAAATACGCTATTAAAATTACCTACAAAATGGTTTAAAAAAATTTACAAATTAAAATTTCTCATTTTTTATGTAATAATTATAAATAATTAAGAAAATTAATTAAGTTTTATGAATTGAATTTTATTTTAAAAATTTATCGAATTTATATGTTTACTTCTTTCTAAGCCACATCTAAGTAAAAATAGCATTTTCTACAAAGCTCGAGTCAAAAGAAGTTGAACTAAAGTATTTATGCAGAGATTTCTCACGTATTTTTCTGAAATTTAAGCCTAATTTAAAAATTGTTAATACATCCGTAATTAATCTCGTTTGTAAGATGCATGGCGTACTTGTTAAAGAAAATTTTAAAATCATGCGTCAAAAAATTATCTACATTTATCCTTATTTTGATTGATAAGATAAAAAATTATATGAATAGCATGGATAAAGTGATTCGTATTATCGACTAGCCTGGTATAAGATAATAAAACAAATACAATGCCTCCGGGCTTAAATTAGTCTACCACCTGCTTAAGTTGACCTCTAAAGCAATGCATACACCATTGGTCAATTTGCACAGCTTTCAATGAACTCAAAATTTACAAAATGCTCTTTGTGATACCATGCGACGATACCATGTGATACGATCATTTTATGCCCCGAATGAACATTCACCTCAAATTGAAAAAAATTACCAATTTCACTTGTTTAAGGATACCAAATTTAATCAAAAGCATTAAACTTAATGCTAAATATCAATTGACACAATGATTTTTTTTTTATAACTGGGATTGAACAGATGACAACATTCTGAGTTTTGGATTATCAATGTCCAACTTAGACTTGTAATTTTGAACCCAATCCAGAAGACAAAGAAACTTCTGGATCAAGCATTGGAACAAACTAGTCTTCGTGGGGGAATTTTTGAAGGAACTAACCCGCCTTTACATCGGAGAGGAAAACTATGACAACCTCTCATGGTCAGTCGGATGGCAAGGGGATTTTAACCCATGATCCGTCGAAGCCATGGGTCACCTCATTGGGAGGCGAACGTTCTATCCACTAAGCCACCTCGACTTTGATACAAACAATTAGGAAATGTAAAGCAAAATTAAAAGAAAGAGTATGAGTACTCATCCAAAGCATCAATCCAGAAATTATACTAGGAAAAGCAGCTAATCACGCCAAAATGCACCACCTCGTCTTAGGGGAAATCGTTTAAAAATCAAATAAAATTACGGAAGTATTCCCAGAGTGCTGCAAGATTATACATGAATTTGGAAAAGATATAGACAAAAGTTAGAGGGTTCACGTTTAGTCTATAATGAAATTGTTAAAAAAAAGCACCTAAGGATGTTTGAATTGACAACATTTTTTTACAGGTGGCCAAAAGTGGGCTTATCAATGTGTGGAGCTGGAATTTTAGCTTCTATATTATATTCTGGAATAGGAACTTACGTAAATAACTACCCACCAACAATGTTATTTGCTCACCCAGATCCTGAGTAAGCATGAATTTTCGAATATTCTGTTAAAAAAAAATATGCATATCGATGCAATGATTTTTCTATAAATTTAGATAATTAAGAAATTTAAATTTTTATATAAAAAAATTATTAGTCGTACTGCGTAATAAAGTAAGGAAAAGCGATTATTTTCAGTACTTAAATGAACACTGGTCTTGTGATTTTTAGCATTTTTTTTTATTGACGACTTAGTTTCCTTTTAGAGAAAGAACAAAATTCTGGGCGGACTTTTACTTCAAGCCATTCGTACATGCAAGTCCATACTGCATTGGTCTTATAGTTGGATATATTCTTGCCGTAAAACCTGATCTGAAAATGTCAAAAGTAAGTTACCGACATCTCATAAAATTGTGTGATGATAACTTAAGAGCCATAACTTTTCTATTCTAATAAACAAATATTTAGTATTTCACCAGTTCAGGACCAACAGAAGGGGAAAGAAACGCTTCCCCTGGCCTGTCCGCTCCGAGAGTATACGTACTAAAGATTACATACGCTTACTAATACGAGAGTACCAAATTGAGATCACGTCTATGTGATCGTGGACCGCTGTAGTCAGAAAGGTTCATCTCATATATGATACCATGGGCCGTTAAGATTTGAATCACATGATTACTTATATATTCCCACGGTTCTGAATGGGAGATAATTACCGGCTAAACTTAGAGAAATAATAAGCCTGACCCTCAGGGAGGTTTTTATTTTATACTTTATAACCGTCGCGGAACAACCGACCCAATTTTGGGTTTAACAACTGACAATATACAACTCCTTAGCCTTGTAAATTTGAAACCAAGCCAGAACACAAGGGATCTCCTGGATCAAGCATTGAAAGAAATCCGCCTTCGTGAAGGACTTTTTTTATGAAACTAACCCGTTTTTGCGTTACATGGAGAGAAAAACCAACGATAACCCATGATCCATCTACCTCTGTGGATATTTTACTTCAGCACTGAGGTCGGTGCTAGCCGGGTACGGAATTCGAATCGGGCAGTCGAACCAGGTTACCTGATTGGGAGAAAAGCGCTCTATCACCTGAGCCCCCACGGCCTCCTCATGTAAGTTGTTACACTGAAGTGCCTTCTGAATTTGGAAGTGAGAATCTTATTGGAGCTGTGCAACTTTTCATCTCATTAATTCACACATAAAGGCACTGCTGTAATTCCATACATAGCGAGTAGTTTGGTTGTTGTTAATTACTTGTTTCACTGACACTATAGGTAATACTTATTATTCAGAAGACTTCGATAGGAGACAAATGGGAGGAGCTTGACGCATTCAATTTCCCAAAGAATTGGAGAATTTCCTTTTTGAGGTCGACAAAGTTAAGAATTTACCAAGAAAATGCACAAATGTATGAGAAAAAAACTATAAAATTGGGTAAACTAAGAACTATTTGCTATGAACGATTTTGCTGTCAAATGGTTGTGTCGTATAACAATTAAACAGCGTAATCAAACATTACCTCAAATTACCAACCATCAATTAACATCAACCACGCTACTATAATACAATTACTTACCAGTGCTCGCGCGTGAGCACAAATGAGGCGCAAACCCACACAGTTTTAATAGCATTGTCTATCCATAATTTAGTGATACTTCAGTGTATATAATTTTAAATATTTAAATAAAAACAAAGCATCTGCAACTTTTTCTTGAAAGATTGCTCTCCAAGCATTAGATTGATTAGATTGATCGTTAAACTCTGTGGATGTCTTTTTCTCAACTGCACTGTCGTAAAATCGGCTCAAATATTGAACGATAATATCGTGCTATTTTGATTTTCAAACTGAACCGTGTTCCCGTTCAACCATTCTTTTAGTATAAGGTAGGCTATAATACGATTCATGACACCATATTTAGGTAGCAGTATAATCGAACTATATAAAGGTTGAACACGCTCTAAAATTGTCAACAAATTTTCAACTGCATCTCCGTCTGCCATCGAGCACATTTAGGATTTATGAACTAACACCACGGTTTCCCCTAAAATGTATTATTTGATAAATGAAGTACTTAAGGCAAATTATCCTACAGTTAAAGTAAATGTGGACAGAAATAGGGAAACTGCTTCATTATCTCCTCCGTTTAAACTGCCAAATGCTTAGTTTGAATTCTTAATAGAAAACATTCTATATGATGCGCCATTATTCAACAGTATTCATCTCTTTTAAAGTTAACTCTAATTGCTGGATGGTGCTTGGCTTTCATTTCATGCTTTTCATCCCTGTATGGTGTTTTTGAGTGGAACAGAGGACGTGAACCATATTTGATGGAAGGCGTACTGTACGCTAGTCTCATGAGAACAGCCTGGACATTTGGTGTGGCTTGGATGATTGTGTGCTGTGCAACTGGATATGGAGGTAAGACAAAAGAACAAGAAGATCGGTCTGGAATGGCACAGTAGATGAAACATTTATTATTCTTATTTTACAAATAAATACTTTATAAGATCGTATTTGTTATTAAACAGGTGTGATAAATTACATTCTATCCTGGAAATGCTTCATACCTTTGGGACGCCTGACATTTATTGTGTACTTGATACATCCTATTGTACAAATTGTTACTGTGGGAAATGTTAGGACTCAAATCCAACCAGACCACTTTTTTGCAGTAAGTACAAAAACATGACATTGCAAATAAAACATAATTCTTCTATTAAGGGACGCTTCTTTTTTTTATAAACATAAAACCTATTTCTAAAATTTCAAAAGCTTTTATTTATTCATCGATTTATTTCTTGTTTGCTTTCATATATTCATCAGAAAATTCTTTAAATCGGGTCAAACTTTATTAATGAATTGTTGAAGAATTCAAAGAACAACTTTATAATAAGCTGTAAATTAACAAATGCAGTTTGAAGAGTTATTAAAATTTTACTGATATACAGTTCATGCTTCTTAAAAATATGCTTTAAAATCAAAATGCTTTAAAATCAATTATTAAAGTAATACTTCTTTTAAGAGTAAATTAAATTAAAATTGAAATTATATAAATTAAATTTTTCTATATATATATCTGAAGATGGCGCCAGCCCAAGGATAAATAATCCTGATATTTTGCCTCTTATCACATTTCGTCCAAAAATTCTACGAAATTATTAATTCAAATATATAGACACAATTAATCTTCATTTCCAGAACTAAGACGAGTACCAATATTTCGAGGGGTCATACATTTTGTTTTCCTGTATGACATAAAAACGTTGTGGTATGAAAACGTTCTCCATTGTTGCCATACTGATTACAGAAATTTAGGAATCCTAATTAAGAATTATCTTTTTGAATGATTTCTAAGTAATTTCTTTTACGAAAAACATTTAACAAGTATTTATAAAAAAAACTAAAATTAAACAGTAATTAAAAGAATACGATTGTTGATGAAGATATAATGATTATGCTTAAATATCATACCAATAGTACCGGAAAATAAATTCATCTAAAAATATTATTATAAATTTATCTTATTTACAATAAAACATTTTAGGGTATCTTAATGAATTATAGTATTCGATTTTATCTAGAAATCATGTCATCAAGAAATCAAAATTAACTGTAGCAATAGTGAAGGTTGATGAACTAAGGGAAAAAGGGAAAGTTCCCCATTTCATATCCATATATTTTAATAATCCAATCTATTATAAAAACATGATCTAGGTAAATATTTTTTAGATTCTCAAGCTCTTTGGCTTAATAAAATATCGTGCTTTACACGTTGGGCTTGGAGAGTATTATTAAAACTAAGTTTCATTTCATGCAGAAAACGTGTTTGGGCTACGTACGTACTCTGACGTTCAATAATATTATTTTATAGGAATCAAATTACAACAAAATTATATTTTTTATTTAGCTTTTTTGCTCAAAAATAAATAAGAGCTAATGTTTATTTTTATGTCTTAATAATATAAAAATTATAAATATTATTTTAATACATAACACATAAAATTACATTTCCAATTCTTTTTATCGGTAAAATCTATAAAAATTAAAAACCATTTTAAAAAAATAAAAGAAATATTTCTTCAATTCATGTCTCATAAGCACGGGTTTTCAATTTATTTTTAATAGTTTATGAGTTATTTACTTTTTACAGGTATGGATTTTCTTCGGCCACATGTGGATCACTTACAGCTCTGCTTTTGCTGGAAGTATGCTCGTGGAAGCACCTTTTTTGGCACTAGAAAAGATATTTTTCGAAAGAGCGCAAAGAGAAGATAGAGCTCGTAAGAGTAGTATACTTAATGGGACATTAAAATCTGGAAAAATTGATGACATAGCTGTCATTGTGCCTACAGAAACGGAAAACTCAAAAGGATGTGATAACTTAGCAATTGTATCCAAACTATAACATCAGTGTCAACATAAACTTTCAATATAGGAATCAACATGGTGCCAACAATAATGCAATTAAACGTCGCAAACTGTGGTGCATGACAGAAATGTGCATATCTATACCAATTTCTGGATGCAACTACGCTTACTACATATTGACTATATGTGACGACTAAATTGGGAAATGATGTGTTTGAATGACAGGGAATTATTTTCAGTTATATCCACGAACAGAATGAAACTAATTGAAGAAAGAAATTAAATCTAAAAGCAATAGCTCTTAAAAAATTATGCTGTGTTTTGTAAACTTATTTTTTCGTGTTTAAAAGCAGTATCTTCGTTACTAATAAAGTAATTTTTTTTTTCATTAGATATTTAAAAAAGCAATTTACTCTTTCCCATGCTTATTATTTTTTAAATACTTGAAAACTAATTAAACTTTTTGGTCTTCTGTCTCTGAAATAATAAATAAATAAATAATTTTTACTGCATAATTTTTAATAAATAAAAAACAAATGAATAAAATAAGTAAAGAAAACATCAATAAATAATTTAACAAACTGAAAGAATCATATTTAGGTCTATTAAAACATAACTTTTGTAATAAAAAAAGTAAGATGTGGGATAGGCGAAACGAATAAGTAACGGTGCTGAATCGGCAATGGGGGGGGGGCGAAACGACGGGACCGAAACAACGTGACAGAAATGTCATGCACCACTGTGCATGACATTCTGTCACGTAGTCATAATTACTTCAAAATGCACAAAATAAATTTTATGCGTTGTTTTTTAACCTGAAATATTATCGACAAAAAAAAATTATCCTGCATGGATAGTAACTTCGTAAGCTTTCCTTGTCTGTAGAAGTACTCTGAAAAATTTTCATCAATTCAAGCCCTAGTAATGGTTTAAAAAAGAATCTTGTTTAATAGTTTAAAAATGTATGATGTATTTATTATTAATACAAGTAGAATGTATATTATGGAACTCTGAAAATAAAACTCAAATAAAAAAATTTGCGGAAAAAAATATTTTGAGAAATATTAAAAATGAGAATTTAAAAATGTGTAGCCAACTGCAATTTAGAAATGAGTATCATGATATTAATAAGCCGAATTCAGCCCTATTTTAAAAACACGAATTGCAAAATAAAGATAATACAAATAATTTGCATCGTCAAGAGTTACATTAAATTTTACTTTTAATCTACTACTAAACATAATTAAAAGGTCATGAAATGAGGATGATGAATAGCGTGTGAAATAAGGAAGGATTTTATCTACTCTACATCAAAATTTCCTGGGATAAATTTTATAATCTTTTGTGACTTGTAACTAATAAATAATTCTTGAAATTGAGGAAAATCATAGTAGTTAAGTCATATCTACTCCTTCGCAACAGAACAATTGGAGAAAAAGATTATAACAGTTCATATTTTCCAAAGTTAAAAACTTTTTTATTCCCTAAGAAGCGCTGAAAACTACTATTAGATCAGAAATATGACAGACAATAAATTGAAAGTGCACAGAAAATATTTGTTACATTTCGAAGGTTGCAATCGGGAGTAAATTTTGTGTTATTGCCCTATTTCATAGTACAATGAGTTTGTTAAAATACATATTTAAAAATATATTACCGATTGAAATATTGTTCCTTTATTTTTGCGTTTGTTTTTATCCCTTTAATTATGTTATGTTGTATTGTTTCATAATTTATGGTCACCATTTTGTGTATTTTTTATGTACGCTAAATAGGCTATAAATAAAATGTGTCATATTTATGTTGTTTTAATGTTATTGTTGAAGTCATTAGTGTTTACTCATGTATATTTTGCTAGTAAGTTAGAGTCTGCTTAAACATAATTTTCTCTTTAAAAAAAACGAAACCTAGTTCAGCAAGAAATGAACAAAATTCATAAAAAAAATTACATCACATTGGTAATAAGAAGATTTTACATCACCATTAAATCAAAATAACTGGCAAACACTTGGTGCTTAAATGTACGTTATTATACGTATTGAACATGTACGTTATATTGAACCTTACGTATTGAACATGTACGTTAATACTTTGACCATAAAATTCGAAAATGTCACTGGTTCACTTCTTTACTCTATTTTTATTTTATAATTCAAAATTAGACCTCGAATTAAATATTAATGTTTTATGAGCTAGTTTATAAATGAGCAGAAAGGCAATAACGTTTGCACAGCATTCTTCTTAAGAGCAAAAAAAAAAGTGCAAAACAAATTATAGATCTGATAAAATCGTTTCAAATCCTCAAAAAATTATGTTCCGGAAGTTATGCTCCCATGAGACAAATTCTTTTTTTTTTTTTTAAATGCAACTGAAATCCAGAAGATGAAAGAATTTGCAAACATATAAATTGTTCCGGCAATGTCCATTTCTTTGAATATTTTTAGGGGTCAAACTGTTTTTGGAAAATGTTATGACTGACCATATGCCAATTTCATTAAATGAATCCATTGAGAAGAAAACAGAGAAATTCCTGTTAAAATCCATATAATTATTCAAATTAAATATACGAATGTAATAATATTCAGTCAGTACAAAAGTCTCAAGCTTTCAATATTTGCATAATACCCCATTTTTATTACGTATTCCCTCAATCTTTAAGTAAAAAACAGGATCTACGGAGAAATATTTCTGAGAATGACTTATTTTAATCTTTTGAAAAGTCTAAGATAATATTTGTAAAAGATAAAAGTTATATTCCTAATGGTATAATGAATGTAGTTGAAGGGTAAAAAGCGCAACTTTCGATATTAAGTGAAAGATAAATTTATCATTAAAATAATTTAAAAACCGGTTTTAATTGGTTTATTTGTGCAATTAATATTCCATAAAAAATATCATCTGTAAGCTTAATCAACATTAACTTTCTCGCTTTCACTATTGAGAAAGATGATATTGCCCTGGAGAAAGCAATATAGGAAAATTTGCAATAAATTCCTATGAAACTTATCCTCCCAAATACCAAATTGCAATGTTTTTAGAAATACCAAACAGAAGTGTTGAAATTTATCTGCGTTGAATGCTAATTACAATGATGAATGATGTAATCTGAATAAATTCCGTAACAGTTTTATAATCAGGTTGCAAATACGTAATAATCAGTTTTTTAGAGTTCATGAAAGAAACCAATGATGTAATAATAAAATAGCCTTGAATATAATAGATAGGTTTTTGTTCTTAGTCTTTGAGAAGATTTTGTTAGAAGCATAATTATATTTTTTTTTCTCGTTTGTAATTTTCATTTCTTGATTCAAGTCAATGTTTTAATTATATTAGCATGCATGAAAAAACAATGTGAAAAAGGGAAAACGAAAATTATCTAAACAAAACTATTGGAGCTTAATTGATGTTTAATTTATTATCAATTAACGTTTTATTCTGAAAATAGCTAAAAATGCGTATTTAAAAAGATTGATATAGCTCAAAATGTGTGTTGAACAAAATGAACACAGCTCAAAATGCACATTTAAGAAAATGGACATGCTCAAATTGCGCATTTTAGAAAATGGACGTAGCACAAATTCTGTGCTTGACAAACTAACAAATTTCTTTATATATTTCTCAAGAAATACTGAAAGAGACATTTTATAATTTCAGAAATGTTTAGATCATGCGATTTCTTGCACTAACGTGTAGTTTGTATGAATGCAATGATGAAGTTTAAAGCTTTCAGAGGCTTGAAGGACCGATAATAAATTACATACAAAAATTAGTGTTTTTGAATACCCTATGCCAAAAAATAAAGCAATGAATTTGAAACTTGCAACAATTATTTTGGTTATTATACGTAACAATAGCACAAAATTTCGCAAACTTAGTTTAAATATTTATGGAGATATGGACATTTTCATAAAAATCTTAATTTTTTTGCCTTACGTTTTTTTTACTATAACTTAAAAAATATCCAATAAAATTAAACAAAATTTTTAGAGCAATTTAAAATTAATTGCAATTTTTTTTTTAAATTTGAAAAACATTTGTTGAAAAATGTGCAATATATAGGTAATTAAAATAGTTTTTTTATGCTGCGAATGAGCGAAAAAATATGACATTTTTTTTTCAATAATTTTGCAGTTAATCGTATTTGGCAGCTAAGGACAAAAGCCTGATTCGAATATCTTAAAAAATTAAAAAGGTTTTAAGCAATTTCCTAAGTAGTTTTTGTACTTTTTTTAAAAACAAAAAAAGATAAGGGTTTTTTCCCAAATATGATTTTGTATCATAAGACAAAATTAAATAAGAAATAATAATACTTTACAAAAATATTTCATACGCCGAATATGATTGTATAAGGAAAAAAGACAAGCAAACGAAAAGGCACTTTTACGGGAAACGATCCCCAACAATATCAGAGTTATTTTTAATAAATCTTGTTTAATAGTAGAAAAAACAAACTTTGTGGAAAACCCCTTATCATTTTGAGCTTTTTTTTTAAAAAAAAAAGTATGAAAACTACGTAGAAAGTTGCTTGAAACTTTTTAAAATTTTAAGATATTCAAGTCGGATATTTTCATTAGTTGGCAAGTACGATTTACTACTTAATTAAGAAAAACCAATTATTATTTTTCTCGCACATGCACAGCATAAAAGAATTACTTTAATTAGTTATATCTTGAGCAGTTTCAAACAAATTTTTCGCAAATTTTAAGGCAATAATTTTGTGATTAATTTTATATTAATCCAAATATTTTGTTTAATTTTGCTGGATATTTTTGAAGTTATGGCAAAACTACGCAAGACAAAAAAATTAGTTTTCATAAAAATTTCCATATCTCAATAAGTATTCAAGAGCGGTTTACGAAATGTTGTGTAATTATTACATTTAATAACCAAAATCATTTTTACAAGTAACAAATTTATTGCTAAATTTTTGCATTTGATTTTGTTTTTCAAACTTCTCTTATGAAATTAGCTTTATGTATTCAGAATAACCTAATAGATTCAAACAAATCCTTATAAATCCATTTATCTAAATTACTCAGCGCTTTTTTAAGTTACTCTTCTTTTTGAAATACCTAAAAATTCAGTAGTTGTTTTTACAGGGGTTCTATAAATGTATAATAACTGTATTTAAATTTACATTTTTTCAATTAAAATTTTTAAAAATTACCTTATTGTTTAGCGTAGTTAAATTTTTTTATATACTTTATGTTGATTTGATGCCATTTACTATAATCAAGCAGAATATTAAGTTGAACAAAAACAGGCATTAATGGGTTAAAACTATCTATCATATATTTCAACTCATTGTCTCATGCAATATATTGATGTTTACTAATTTCAGAAGAAAATACATGCTTTATCGTTTCCATCAGAATGACAATCGTATTTTTGTAAGAAAGTGAATAACAGATTTATCATAATTGATTTAGGAAATTATATCAGTTAATCTAAGTTAGTCGCATAAACAATAGTTTTAAAGGAAGGATAAGATTTTTCCTCGAAGATTTTATGGAGAAATTAGTCGTGAATCTAATTTCTTGAACAATTGTTCCAAAACTGGAAAGATGCGACGTCCAAAAGCATCAACTGTGCGTTTAATCCTAATTGTAGGATTTTTACTCTTTTTAACGCACAAAGTGAGCTGTGAGTTAGATAATTATGATGAAATAAATGAAAATAATATTTATGATCAGTGGAAAGAATTGGATAAAAAAGCTGCGAAGCTTGTTAATTCTGCAATCAGAATGATTTTGCCCAAGGTTATGGAATCATCCAGTTCAATGAACATATCATCAGAATGTGTGAAACAAGGCATGCATTTAATATCTGGATTACGACGCTTAAAAATTTGGGCTTTTAGTTGTAAGTATTTTTTTTAATTCAAATGTAAACAACAATTATTACATTTTTATTTACTTGTATCTTTTCTGCGGATGCTGGCATTAGATTTAAATAAAAATTTTAAAATCAGTGCGATCTGTTTAATATCATTCATACCAGTTCAAAACCAGCCTGGGTCCCTTGGTTCAAATTATCTTTCATCAGTTTTTTCTCCCTTTCATTAAGTCCTGTACCAATTATTTTATCTGAACCCCTTGCCTACTGTTCGTATGTAAGATTAATTACATGACAGCCTATCTATTTAAACTTTAGGAACGCCAGTAAAAAGTTTCTATAGAAAAATCTCATCTAAAAATTAAAGCAATAAGGAAAACAATGGAAGTGAAAATATTACCACCGAAGCCGACTTCTTCAAGGGGTACCGGCCTCGGAAGCCATAAAACAAAACCTTTTCTATTGAGAGAGAGGACAAATGCCAAAATTAACTCTCACAGTACCCCGAAGGTTTTGTGGAAGTCCAAGAAAAAATACATAAAACCAAATCAGAAAGGATATTTCAACAAATCTTGAGAAAATAAAAACTCACATTAAACCGGTCAAACAGCGATTTCACAAACAAACTAAATGCAAAGGGAACTCAAAAGAAAACAACGACCTCTATTAAAATGCGCAGAATAGAAAAAAGAATAGTAAAAGAATGCGTAACAAATTAGTATAATGCTTAACTGGGGCTGCTCAGTTAAGACTTGATTTTCGCCCTGTTAAAAGAAATAATAAACTAGTATTCTTCAATCATTTTCTTAATCAAAAAATTAATATTACAATAATTAAAAGGAAAATCATTATTACTCAAATTATTCAAAAATTATTATTACACAAATTATCTCATCTAAAAACTAATAATCAGATAATTAATCACATAACATGAATTTTGTGACGAAAACTCCCCCTAACGAGGAAGGAGGAAAATAAGGAAGGAGAAGGAAAATTTGGAATGTACTTGGTAGCAAATTATTACTAAGATATAAAAACATTCTGTATAGTTGAAACTTACCATACTTCCTTATTCATGCACCAGTACATCTATTGAAAAAAATAAACTTTGAATTGTTTATATCATTGTAAGGTTATAAATACTCGCGTTTATGCAATAACTTTCAGAGAACATATTGTTTTATAACTAAATATCATTCTTAAACTAAAGGGCTAAGCCTCATGTTCGCTGCCGCTTATCAACTTAACCATAATTGTTGTTTCTCAACATAAAAGTATTTTTTTACGAAAATTGTAATTTTTCACTTAAAATATATATACAGTGCACAAAATAAAAAACTGACCACTATGAATAAGTTTTGATGTAATGATCAAATCTTCACGTTCTAGGAATCAATCTTAATGGTTCGTGAGAGTGACCTCAAATATGATAATTAATTTTAAGCTGCGAAATCAGACATAAAAACGTACTTTCTCTGAATAAACATACCTTTTTTAGACGGATTTTAATTTTTGACCCCCCAAAATATTGGGGTAGCCGTAATCTGGGAAATATGGGCTCAATAGATTGCACAGAAGAGCGGTCCACAGTTTGGATTCCTTGATGTTAATTTTACTTTTCGCGCATTGAGCCATATCTAGAGGAAGTCCAAAACAAATTTAAAAATGCTTGCATACAATTATAGAATGCGTTTATCCTAAGATAATTCCTCGCAAAAAATAACTTTAAATAAATATTTATCATTTTTTTATTATTTTATTTAAGATTATTTGAAAACATTTTGAATTGTAAGGTATACAATTTTTGACATCATCCGTAAGTAATGTAATTTTGCATGGCAAAATACGAAATTTCAGCAAAATCGGTCAAATAGTTCCTGAGAACTCGAATTTTAAACATGTGGCTTTTTTTAAATTCAATTTCTCAGGAACTATTCAACCAATTTTGCTCAAATTTTATATTTTACCATGCAAAATAATGCAAGAAAACTGTGTATCTTAATGCAAAATGTAAAATTAAGATTAAAGGATCTAAATTTTAGACCGCTCTCCTGACCGAACTTCCGAGATTGCGGCTATATTTTGGGGGTCAGAAATCCGAATCCGTTAAAAAAAACATACGTTTATTGAGAGAAAGTATGTTTATGTGCATATTAATTAACATATTTGAGGTCACCCCCACGAACCATTAAGAATGAGTCCTAGAACGTAAAAATCCATCATTAGATCAAACGTTATTCAGGATGGTCTGCTCTTTTTACTTTGCGCACTGTACAATAAAGAACGAATTTGTGTACAAATTTGCATTTGCTTATGCTTGTTCCCCCACTTTTCACGCTCATATTAAATGTTTGTTTTGATTCAAATTTGATTAGTAATCAGTATAAAAGATATCGTATGACTCTATTAAGATCTATTAGTGCGCAGAGAAAAAGATTTTGGAAAAAGTACCGCACTGTAAGCTAATGATTTTTCTGGTAAAAAAACAACAATTAAAAAATTGGTTATGAAAACAAAGATTTACGCTATTTAAACAATTCATTTGGAATTTCTTCTGTTCGTATAGCAACATTTTACCAGAAATTCTGGTTGTTAAAATTATAGTTCTTATTAGCACGCATTTAGTAAAAAACTGAAAAGTAAAATGAACGAATAAATTATGCCATGCTTTATGTATCACAATAAAATTAACAAATTTTAACACATTTACCGAATTTTATCATATATTATAAAACAGTATTTTATTTAATTTTACTAAAAAAATTACCAAAGCTCTTCAGTTATAATTACCGACCTTTTTGGTGTTTCCATAGAGCCAGAAACACAATAAATGTTACCAAATTCTGGTAGCTTTAACCATATTTTTTTCAGTGTGATCATTAAGAATTTTACTCAATAGTCCTTTTTTTAGGAAAAAGTAACATTTAAAATCAAAAGTATTTTGTTATAACAAATTTGATGAGCTCATAATCGTAACTTAGTACTTTCGCTTTCGAAAGAAACTGATATATTAAATGTAATTTATGCATGCGTCACATTGGGCATGAAGCTGATTGTCAAGTTGTAAATCATTTAATGACTCTCTTTAACAGTAATTTATGTAATTGCCTTATTGCTTACGTATGTAATTTTCCGGCGATAACAATGGAAAACTTCGATACCATCATTATAAATGGGTACTAGCAGTTCGAGAAGAAAAAGAAGACCTCGGATAACCAAACATATGACGACAGTGCCAGCTGATCATTTATAAGCAAACTGGCGTGTAAAAGTTAAGCTAACTCTCTCCACATAAGTCAGTATGTTAATTAACGTGAAATGAATTAAATACATTGCCGTATCACACATCACACATGGAATTTATTGAAATATAATTATTTCTCTTCTGCATCTTTTATTTAACTTTGATTTATTATTTGTTTATTTATTTTATTGTAACCGTGATATATATTTTTTTGTGGCAACTTCTATGCATAAATAGTTTGTTTATGTTCTGCATGGCTTCCTGTCTGTCTTTATGTTAAGTAAGAAGTATATAGTAAGAGAATTTGTCGTTGAACAAGAATATAGAATGTATCATTTAAGAGAAATGATGCTGATGATCTTGGCTTACTCGAAATTCAATGGAAAGAACAGTTGCTAACGTGAATAAATGCCTCGTTTCAATAACCAAACAGAATCGAGGTATTCACCCTATGTCACTTACAGATATCCCATTTTGTACGCACCTAAAATAATGAACGATAATATTTTAGGTAGTGTTTTTAGCTAATCTACTTACCGCAGTGCCCTCTTGCAACACTAAAAGGAAACGTTTGGTTGATACAGTAGATGCAAATCTTAAAAACTTTTTAGTTTATAATTTATGGTTCCAGTCATATTATTGATTGCAAGAACAAATAATGCTTCTCGGTGATTTAAAATTCATAATTTGCAGGGTTTCTTTTGCTCCATTTTTAAAAAAGAAGAATTAAAACAAGACTGTATTGTGTGAGTTTACGCTAGGGTTTAGAATTTTTTTTGCAGTTAATGCATTTCCATAGAAACATAAAAATTCAAAAACAATTCTAATTACTTTAATCTTACATTTCAGTTTCATAATTCGCAATTAGTGTTTCTGTATTAATTTTAGTTTCTCCTGTTTATTTCCATCTGTCATATGATAAATTCTTTAGTAAATGAAAGGATTAATGTTCCATATATCAATTAATGGTGCATGTAGCTTGCATAAATAAGTATTTTTTCTACTTATAAATAAACTCAAGAATACGAAAAATAGCGAGAAATTAATATCAAATAATAATTTACTTAAGATCATAAGACAAAATATACTTGTCTTCTATAACACGAGAAATACATAGAAAAAAAAACGTCCAAGAGTTAATGAAACATTATCAAACGATTAAAAAGAGTTGTGAATTCAATCAAAAATATTTTTTAAAAAATTATACATTCTTCCTCTAACTGGTTTTAAAGCTTTTTCTTTCAGCGGAGTGCTGAAACCATTTGGCCGAAAGTGTTGCAATTTGGCCCAGCCCTAAAAAAACTCATCGGCTCTTTTGTATGCTCTAGCTTTAGAGTAGAAACGTGAAAATTGTATGTACTTTAAACATAATCGCTAAGCTTGTATTTCTTTTATAACAAAAGGTCGTAACGATTCGATGGTCAATTACCTGGATAATAACCTATAAAATAAAAATAATTGATAAAATATATCCTTAAAACCAATAAAGCTTTCGAATGCAAATTAGAACAAGGAANGTAGAACATTCAACTTCTGCCCCCTAGAGTATAGGATCTAAAAGAGTGGTTCCCAAATGGTGTTCCATGGAACCCTAGAGTTCCGCCAAGAATTGCAAGGGTTTCTCTAATTGGTACTTTTTTTAGCCACATTCGGCTGACCGCCTAACTGGAATATTCTGCTTCTGCACCCTAGAGCCTAAGATATAAATTAATAGTCCCCAATTGGTGTTCCGTAAAGCCCTATGGTTCCGTGGAAAGGTTACAGCGGCTACACGAGATAGTAC